TGTTTATCCGACCCGAAATAAAGAAGGCCTACAATTTCCTCATTTCAAAAGGGATTTTACACTCTACAATACTTACTTAAGATTACTAGTTTTGGTGTACCCTTGTATTAGCAAAAATAAACTTTTAAAATAATGTAAAAATTAACAAAATTTATAAGCTCTAAATAATAAAAATATTTTTTTTTTGTACCTATTTGCCTTGAAAGTTTTACAATTATAATAACTTTATATATGGAAAAAAAAAATCGTAAAACCTCAAAGCACATGTCCTACGCGCCTTGGAGTCCTAACGTGAATTTGCAAAACCTAAGAATATGATTTTCTTTTACAAAAATAATATAATACATTACATAAATCAAATAAAAAAAATTAACATAGAATGTAATTAATTTAAAAGTCCTAAATATTACAACAATAATTAAAATTTTAAATATTAGGATGATAATCAAATGACTATTTTGTTACTGTAAACTCGATTTTAATTTTTAAAGGAGTAGAAAAGACGAATGACATTTTAGTAAAGGCATTCACAATTTTAATATAAGTAGTCTTACGTACGCGCGTTGTGCGTGTTCTTTGTGTTAATGAAAACCAAAATTTAAAAATATAATAAATATTATTCAAAAGGTATATTAGCGTTATAACATTAAAAATTATTGATACGAATTCCAAAATGTTAAATACTAATAATATAAGGGAGTTATTGTACAAAAAGGTCATAGGAGTAGCATTGATTGATATGTAAATTATTCGTTCAACTTTTTCTGAGCACTTACGTACGTGCATTTGCATGTATATTTCGTATTACTTATTACAAGTTTTGTGTTAGACAGTTTACCAAAAATTAAAAATTATTTATCCATATTTTATTCATTTTAACGGGACTTCTAAACTGAAGCCTTATTCTATTCATACTTAACTAATTATATAGGTATTCGAACTGGATTATTATTAATAATTTTTTTAAAATTTTTAGCCCGGTTGTTGTCTTATTTTACCTATGATTTCTTTCTAAGGTACTTTTACTTGTGGTAAATTGGCAAATTGCATATATACATTATTTTCTCTATTTTTATTTTTTTGTATAAAATATTGATTAATCTTTTTATCGTTTAAAATAATTTTATGTTTTAAAAGATTGCCATTTGAATTTCCTAATATTTAGACAACAACAGTGGACAAAATTTTGAGTACACATCAAATTCTAAGTCCTTTGACCAAAAAGAAAGTATTGATTGCGAAGTTTAAATTCATACCACCTCAATATAATGATTTCATATTTTATAATCAAAATTATGTTTTACTGCACTATTTTCACGTACCTTGCCAAAATAATTGAGTTATAATTATTGTATCCTAATTGAACAATGTTTCGTTTTTTTTTACGCCCTAATTGTTAACTATAATTGAACTATAGTTAACAATTTAAATAAGAAAATAACTTATATATATGCTAACACGCGCTGATCGGAAATGGGGAGAGGAAGGCCAAAACGGACTGTGACAAAGGTTCAGCTAGCATAATTCATAGCATCAGGTAGCCGGAGCGACAATTTGGGGAGAAACTAAAATTTATAAGCTCTAAATAATAAAAATATATTTTTTTGTACCTATTTGCCTTGAAAGTTTTACAATTATAATAACTTTATATATGGAAAAAAAAAATCGTAAAACCTCAAAGCACATGTCCTACGCGCCTTGGAGTCCTAACGTGAATTTGCAAAACCTAAGAATATGATTTTCTTTTACAAATATAATATAATACATTACATAAATCAAATAAAAAAAATTAACATAGAATGTAATTAATTTAAAAGTCCTAAATATTACAACAATAATTAAAATTTTAAATATTAGGATGATAATCAAATGACTATTTTGTTACTGTAAACTCTATTTTAATTTTTAAAGGAGTAGAAGAGACGAATGACATTTTAGTAAAGGCATTCACAATTTTAATAGAACTAGTCTTACGTACGCGCGTTGTGCGTGTTCTTTGTGTTAATGAAAACCAAAATTTAAAAATATAATAAATATTATTCAAAAGGTATATTAGCGTTATAACATTAAAAATTATTGATACGAATTCCAAAATGTTAAATACTAATAATATAAGGGAGTTATTGTACAAAAAGGTCATAGGAGTAGCATTGATTGATATGTAAATTATTCGTTCAACTTTTTCTGAGCACTTACGTACGTGCATTTGCATGTATATTTCGTATTACTTATTACAAGTTTTGTGTTAGACAGTTTACCAAAAATTAAAAATTATTTATCCATATTTTATTCATTTTAACGGGACTTCTAAACTGAAGCCTTATTCTATTCATACTTAAGTAATTATATAGGTATTCGAACTGGATTATTATTAATAATTTTTTTAAAATTTTTAGCCCGGTCGTTGTCTTATTTTACCTATGATTTCTTTCTAAGGTACTTTTACTTGTGGTAAATTGGCAAATTGCATATATACATTATTTTCTCTATTTTTATTTTTTTGTATAAAATATTGATTAATCTTTTTATCGTTTAAAATAATTTTATGTTTTAAAAGATTGCCATTTGAATTTCCTAATATTTAGACAACAACAATGGACAAAATTTTGAGTACACATCAAATTTTAAGTCCTTTGACCAAAAAGAAAGTATTGATTGCGAAGTTTAAATTCATACCACCTCAATATAATGCTTTCATATTTTATAATCAAAATTATGTTTTACTGCATTATTTTCACGTACCTTGTCAAAATAATTGAGTTATAATTATTGTATCCTAATTGAACAATGTTTCGTTTTTTTTACGCCCTAATTGTTAACTATAATTGAACTATAGTTAACAATTTAAATAAGAAAATAACTTATATATATGCTAACACGCGCTGATCGGAAATGGGGAGAGGAAGGCCAAAACGGACTGTGACAAAGGTTCAGCTAGCATAATTCATAGCATCAGGTAGCCGGAGCGACAATTTGGGGAGAAACTATAGGTGTAAATCAGGCGGGGCTGACCCGTTTTCAACCCGGGTCAGCCCGGTTTAGCCCGTTACTGTAGCTTAATGTGCGGGTTGGGACGGGTTGGTCGGGGGACGAGTTTTGGACGAATATATTTTGGATAACGGTGCACCGTACCCGCTAAGTCCGTTAATCCGTTAACGGATTGCAGCCCGTTATCAGCCCGGTTACCGTTACAATTTTTTTTTAAAAAAATTATTTGGACCGTTGCCAACGGTCAAAATTTAATTTAAAAAAAAAATTACACTAGCCCGGCCCGCCCGAACCCGAACGGTCCCACAATAACCCGAAAATTTCCAACCCGCTACCAGCCCGTTAACCAACCCGATCCGATAACGGACAGGCTGGTTTTTTTGTTCAGCCCGCCCCAGCCCGCCCCATAAACACCTCTAGGAGAAACTGTGGAAATTCTCCACAATTAGGAAACCTAGCTTGTGAAAAGGGAATATCAGCGATAATACCTAATTCTGAAGGATCGAGTACCATGCAGATGAAGTTAGCACACGATTTGGGGAATTTGAGCCCTAATTTGATGAACTCCACACCTAAATCAGCTGGTGTGGTGATTGGTGTGAAAAACTCAGGAGAATTCACTGTACCATTGACTGCTACTATTCCATTAGCGGCAACAGTGAATAATTAGAAGGAGAAGAATATAATAGTGGAAGAAGTAGCAAATCAAAGGAATACATGCATTACAACCAAAGCAAATCAAGTGGAGGAGCAAAAAGGAAAGAGTGAGAGTACTACTAATGCACCAGTCCAGGTGGTACCAAAACCAGAGTCTGGGAAAGGTGAGAAAAATTGGGCAAATCTATTTGTTGGTAACAGGATGGCTGCAAGGGAAATGGATCTAGTATTCATACCTCCTACAATTCAAGATGGAATAAGGAAAGTACAACTGCAACAGGAGGAGATGGAACTTGATAATGCGAAATGGCAGAAGGCTGTTATACTGTATGTCATTGGGGATTCACCATCAATAGGTGCCATGGAACGATTTATAGCCTCACAATGGAACTTTGCTGCCAAACCAAAAATTTACTATCACAATGAAGGGTATTTTGTTATACTATTCAGTAGCATGGAAGATAAGAATGAGGTGTTGTATTTAGGGCCACATACTATGGGAACAAAGCCATTAATACTGAAATCATGGTCAGCTGACTATGGGTCAGCTTTCCTAATTTACCTCTGAATTGTTGGGGAAGGATGACTCTTAGTCGAATTGCTAGTGGATTGGGATGCCCTATTTATGCTAATGAGTGCACAACTAATACAACAAGGATTTCTTATGCCCGAGTCCTTATTGAAATGGATATAAGTAAAGAGTTACCAAAGTGCATCATTGTGCAAGACCCTTCAGGGAAGAAATTTAAACATGTGGCGGACTATGACTGGGTACCACAATATTGCAAGAAGTGCCTTATGGTGGGGCATGACTGTGATGGAGAACAAGGCAGAGCTGGGGCAACTAGGAAAATGCACAAGGGAGAGCAGCAGCAACAAAGAGCAATAATTCCTAAGCAACAGGACAAAGCTCATATTGCAAGTACAAGCATGCAATAGACAAGGAATGCAAAACCAATAGCTCAATGGGTAGCAATAGGGCCAATCAAACAAACAGAAAAGGATGCACGCAAGCAGGCAATTCAAGTGCAGCAGATTGAACCAGATGTACTAGATGGTGACCAGCAAGTATGGACAAAAGCAAAAGGTAGAGGAGGACAAACAAGCCCAGTTCAACAAATTATCACCACCACTAATGGTTTCTCTTCATTAAGAGTGGAAGCATAGGAGGGAAATGCAAGATGGGCGGATGAGGATAACCCTCAAAGTAGCAGAGGAGAAGATGAAGAAAGAGCCCCACCCAATCCTAAATCTACATGAAGATAGCTACATGGAATGTGAGGGGTTTTAATAAGGTATATAAGCAAAAGGAGATGAAAATATTCTTGCAGATTCATAAGATTAGCCTAATAGCAATGGTAGAACAAAGAGTTCAAGATAATAAAGCAAAGGAGATTATTAATAAATGTGCACCAGGGTGGAGTTGGTGTTCAAATAGGTCATCTGATGGGAAAGGAAGAATATGGATCATATGGGATCCAAACAAAATTCAGTTTACTATGCTACAGAATCTTACTCAGTACATTCATGGGAAAGTTCACAATATCAGTTCCAGCAGGCAATTTGCTTTTACTGCTATCTATGGTCTACATACAATTGCTCATAGATGTGCTATGTGGGAAGCACTAAGGAACTTAGATTCCCAGATGACTAATCCCTGGTTAATCATGGTAGATTTTAATGCAATAATGGATATTGAGGACAGGGTGAATGGTACAACAATGCAGGAAAATGAGATTAAGGAATTTAGAGCTCTGATGGAGGACTGTAGACTGAATGAGCTTACTACTGTGGGAAGGTCATATACATGGACAAACAGTCATGTATATAGCAGAATTGACAGGGCTATTGTTAATGCACATTGGATGATGAATATGCCACCAATACAAGTTAATGTGATGGATCCTCAGTTTTCTGATCATTCTCCACTGTGTATAGAGCTGGAAATAACAATGGATACTAGGGGGAAACCTTTCAAATTCTTCAACTACCTAGCTGATCATACATATTTTGAAAATATAATAAGGGAAAGATGGGACAACAAAGAAAGAAGTATGAAAGGCATCTGGCAAAATTTAAGAAATGTTAAAGCTGCACTCAAAAGTCTTAACAGGAAGGAGTTTGCAAGCACAACAAATAAGGTCCAACAACCCAGGGAGACACTAGCTAGCATACAAGCTCAGATGAGGACCACTACAGCACCTGCTGATATGTTTGATACAGAAAAAATCACTAAGCAGCAGTTGGAGAAATGGAGCAAGATAGAGGAAAACATATACAAGCAGAGATCTAGAGTACAATGGCTTAAATTGGGTGATTCCAATACAGCCTTCTTCTTTACCAGTATGAAAGGAAGAACAACACAAAACCAAATCAAACTACTCACAACTGATGATGGCAGATTCGGGTCCGATCGCCCAGATGCATGCAGATGGCGTTGCCTATAGCATATGAAAATCTAGGGATGGGGCATAATTCTAATTTTATGGCCTTAAAATGCCAAAAAATGAGGAATAGTCATGGCAAGGCGATGACTATTGTTCCTTTTACAGTTTTAGGGCCATATAATAGGAATTTCGAATGATTTTCGATTTTTTGTATGCTATGGTCCACTCCATCTGCATGAGCTAGAGCGACCGGCTCCAAATCGTCTAAAATCTTGCGGGCCCATCAGAAATGACTGAATTAACAATAGTCATCACTTCGCTATGACTGTTCCTCCTTTTTTTAGCATTTTAGGCCAATAAAACAGGATTCAGCTTGATTTCTGATTTTTTGTGTTCTATAATCCACACCATCGACATGAAATCGGGCGACTGACTTTGAATTGCCTAAAATTATGCGAGCCCAATAGAAATGACCTAATGAATAATGTTCATCTCTGCACCATGACCGTTCCTCGTTTTTTTTTGTATTTTAGGGCTATAAAATAGTAATTCAACACAATTTTCGATTTTTCATGTGCTATAGTCCACACCATCTGCATGATCTCGGACGACCGACATTGAATAGCATGTACTTTTGCGGGCCCATCAGAAAATGGCCTAATCAAGAACAGCAATCGCTTCGCCATGGCCATTCCTCAATTTTTGTGTTTAGGGCCATAAAATAAAAATTCGGCACAATTTCTGAATTTTCATGTGCTATAGTCCACGCCATCTGCATAAACTCAAGCGATCGGCTCCGAATCGCCTAAAATTTTACGATCCATCAGAAATGACCTAATGAGCAATACTCATTGCTTCACCATGATATTCCTTGTTTTTTGGCGTTTTAGGTCCATAAAATAGGAAGTTGGCACGATTTTTGCTTTTTTGTGCTATAGTCCGTGCCATGTACATGAATTCGGGCTCTGAATCGCCTAAAATTTTGGGGCTCATCAGAAACGACCTAATGAACAATACTCATTGCTTCGCCATGTCCGTCCTTGTTTTTTGATGTTTTGGGTCCACAAAACAGGAATTCAGTATGGTTTTTAGTTTTTCATGTGTGACCGGCTCTGAATCGCCTAAAGTTTTTCTAGCCCATCAAAAATAGCCTAATGAAGAATAGTAATCATTTCGCCATTACTGTGCCTTATTTTTGGCATTTTAGGGCCATAAAACAGGAATTCTGTCTCATCCCTAGATTTTCGTATGCTATAGCCCACGTCATCTGTATGAATCTAGGCGACTTGACCTGAACCGCCAAAACTTTTGTCGGACCATAAAAAAAGACCTAAGGAATAATAGTCATCGTCTCGCCATGACCGTTCCTCGTTTGTTGGCATTTTAAAGCCATAAAACTGAAATTCTGCCCGATCCCCAGATTTTCGTGTGCTATAGCCCACGCCATCTGCATGCATCCGGGCCACTGGACCCAAACCGTATAAAATTTTACCAGACCATAAAGAACAACCTAAGGAACAATAGTCACCGCCTCACCATGATTGCTCCTCGTTTTTTAGCTTTTAGGGCCATAAAACTGGAATTCCACCCTATCTCTAGATTTTCGTGTGCTATAGCCCACGCCATCTGCATGCATCCGGGCGATCGGAGCCGAACCGCCTAAAATTTTGTTGAACAATCAAAAATGACCAAGGAACAATAGTTATCGCCTCGCCATGTCCGTTCCTCATTTTCTGGCGTTTAGGGCCATAAAACTGGAATTCCACCCGATCCCCAATTCTCGTGTGCTATAGCCCATGCCATCTGCATGCATCTAGGCGACCGGACCCAAACTATCTAAAATTTCAAAAACGGCCTAAATAAGGAATAGTAATGGCGATGTGATGACTATTTTTTATTAAGTCGTTTCTGATGGCCTCACAAAATTGTAGGCAATTTGGATCCGGTAGCCCGAGTTCATGTATAGCACCCGAAAAATCAAAAATCGTTATGAATTCATATTTTATGGCCCTAAAATGCCAAAAGAGTAAACGGTTATGACAAAGTGATGAATATTGTTCATTAGGCTATTTCTAATGGGCCTGCAAAATTTTAGACGATTCCGAAACGGTCGGCCCGAGTTCATGCAGATGGCGTGGAATATAGCATACAAAAAATAAGAAATCATCTAGAATTCCTGTTTTATGGCCCTAAAATGCCAAAAAACGAGGAATGGTCATGGAAAAGTGATGAGTAATGTTCATAAGGTTGTTTGATGGGCCCGCTAAATTTTAGACGAGTCTGATCTAGTCGCTCGAGTTCATGCAGATGGCTTGGACTATAGCACACGAAAAGTCGAAAATCGTTCGAAATTCCTATTTTATGGCCCTAAAACGGTAAAAAATAAGGAACGGTCATGGCGATGTGATGACTATTTTTTTATTAAGTCATTTCTGATGGCCCCGCAAAATTGTAGGCAATTTGGATCGGGTCACCCGAGTTCATGTATAGCACACAAAAAATCAGAAATCGTTATGAATTCCTGTTTTATGGCCCTAAAATGCCAAAAAAAAAAAAGAAACGGTTATGGCAAAGTGATGAATATTGTTCATTAGGTCATTTCTAATGGGCCTGCAATCTTGCAAATTTTGATGGGCCCGCTAAATTTTAGCCGATTTCGAGCTGGTTGCGTGAGTTCATGTAGATGGCTTGGACTATAACACAAAAAAGTTCGGAAACCATGTTGAGTACTTGTTTTATGATCCTAAAATGCGAAAAAATGAGGAACGGTCATGGCAAAGAGATAACTATTATTCAATAGGCTATTTTTAAATGGCCCACAAAATTTTTGGAATTTGAAGCCGGTCGCCCGAGTTCATGCAGATGGTATGGACAATAGTACATAAAATTTGGGAATTATGCTGAATTCCTGTTTTATGGCCCCAAAAGCCAAAAATCGAGGAACGATCATGGCGAAGTGATGAGTATTGTTCATAAGGTCATTTCTGATGGGCTCGCAATACTTTTGGTAATTTGGAGCCTGATCGCTGCCAATTCCACACTACTATAAAGTAGGAAGAGAGGGTCGCAATAGCTTTTACCCGATATGAGGGTCGGGATCGAATCCACAGAGAGCTAGAGAGGGAGTTGGGTATCTACATAGACTAGAATCGTGTGTATGCTCTTAATTGATCTTCTTATCATTTTTGGGTTTTTCAATTATAAACTACTATTATCAAACTACCATTTGAAACTAGATTATGCTTTGAAATAATTGCTAAAGTTGTATCTAATGGGAAGAAGGGCACTAGGGTCGTGACTTCACCTAGGTGGCTAATTGACGGGTAGATGTTACTAAGGTTCGATTGACATAATTGGGGCTTATGCTATAACCGTTGCACAATTTTACCCACTCTCACACCTCTCGGTAGAGAGAGTGATTTTTGCCCAATTGACTCTCTCGAGACCAAATGGGTAGGCAAATTAGGTCAAGCAACTAGGGTTCAAGTAGGGTGATTACTCTCTCGAGGTTTAACCCGTTAATTGGGACTATCATTTCTTATGAGTCCATCCCAATTCCTTGTTGGGTCAAATTTGGAGACTTAGACTCTCTTTCTCAAGAAGAGTCAAATCCACAAAGCACAAATCAGTGTTTGCAACCACCAATTTATAGATTAAAACATAAAATCAACCCAAATAGCAAACACCCATAGTCAATCTAACCCTAGATGGCAACACCCATCAATTACCCACACTAGGGTTGAGCCACAACCCTAGCTAATGGGTTTAGCTACTCATGCTTGAAGGAGAAAATGAAGAAATAGATGAAGAACAAGACATATTAATTAAATACTAAATTAAAGTACAAGAATCTATCACTAAATTGAAGCTAAGATGCCAAAAATGGCTACAAAAGGAGTCTCACGAGCGCAGCCCAAAGTCTGAAATTAACTGATGACCTAAAAATGGTAAAATGTTCTATTTATACTAAGCTGGAAAAACTGGACAAAAATACCCCTGCGGGGTCAGCGCGGGCCGCACAAAATGGACCGCGGCCGCACAAGGCTCTTGGACTTCAAAACTGGCTCTCTGAACTTGGGCTTCGCGGACCGCGTAAAATGGACCGCGGCTGCGGAGGCAGCTGGTGCGGTCCGCACAATAACGACCGCAGACCGCATTGCTTAGGCTTGGCATAATTCCATCTCTCTGAATCTCTTGTCCGCGGACCGCACAAAAAG